TCCAGCGTTGATGTCTGTATATAATTGTGTGGTGTGTGATTTAAATGAAAAAGAAAATGAGAAAAAGAAATTATAAAAGAAGTGGGACCCACAACACTTTTTAAGTGAATTGTGAGACCAAAATTGGTCTCTGCCTTTCTCTCTCTCTCCCGACAGACGCTCTCTGTTTCTCCTTCTTTTCTTTTTTTTTTTTCTTTTTTTTTTTTTTCACTTTAAGCTTCCATTATTGATTGCTCCTTCATCTTTTGTCGGATTGAGGTGCCGTTTGAGGTAAAACAAAGCTTGTGTCGAGCTCTACGCATACATACCAACAATTCCAGATTTGGTGCACCCTTTGAACTTCGAAATTTAGGACCCATTTTCTAGGGTTTGCTCATTTTTGAGGTAGGGGCATCTTAATCCACTCTAGTCTTGTTCTATTGTGAATTTTACCTCCATGTTGTATTAAATATGCTTAATTTAGAGTTAATTATATTTATGATGATATTAATGATGTCTAGAGGGTTTTCACGATCTTAAATATGGTTGGTTCATGTGCAAATTATATTTAGTTGTTGATTTCCTATGTTTACTATGTGCTAGCATGCTGAAATTGATGTATGAGAGTATGCTTATTTAAATTGCGCCAAATTTCCCAATTCATGATGTTGAGCTCATATATATCTATACATGCACATGCTTAAATGTATTCTGTTGTATCTTAATGTGTTAATAATTACTTGGGAGATGTTGAACATGTTGAATGTTTAATTTTATGATGGAAAATTTTAAATGCCATGACATTGAATGTATGGAACATATATACATGCACATACCACTGGGTTTGCATGAAATGGGAGAAATTGTTCTTGAAATTAATATGGGGAATTTCAGGGAAGTGTTTTTGATAAAATGGTTTTATGCGAAACCCGGTCGCTGCGGGGTTACCAACGGGCCGGAGGTTAATATAGCCTAGAGGGGACTAGGGAGTCGCCCTAGCGTGGTTGAGCTAGGTGGGCCCCATAATGACGCCGCGGGGTTACCAAGGGTCAGGGACACTAGCCAATCCTCCTTTCGTGTCGCGGCGGGGTTACCAAAGGGCGGGCTGTATTAACGTTTGAAAGTGATGATTTTGAGAATGAAAATGGGGAGTGTCATTGACATGCATTGCATGTCATTTCATTGCATTGCATTGTTTATACTTGGAATTGACTTGTATGTTGTATTTGATCCCCTACGTTGTATGATCCCTATCTCCCATTGGCTTATGTTTTGCTTGAATTCACAAGGACACAAGATTTGTGTCTTAAGTGTCACCTACTGAGCATATAGCTCACCCTACTATTTTTACATTTTTTTTTCAAGTCTTGGAAAAGAATCGGTGGACGACAACCCACCTCAAGCTTGAGCGATACTAGAAGCTCACTTTTGTGTCTTTTGTATATTTCTCATTATTTTTGCAAAGCACTAAAAGTATAAAGGTGTATATCTATATTTTGCAAAACTTTGTCATGTAATGTAACTAAGGTATTTGATGGTATTTCGGATGGGAATTTGATAGCATGTAACCTTGTTGATGAATGGGAAGGATAATTTTAGTTAAAGTAATTATCGGTGTTATTTGATTGTGTATGATCATCTACTATTGCCGTGAATTCGGAATTTGAGCCGTGACAGGTTAAAAATGCAATTAAACAGGTTGTGATAGGCCTATTTTTAGGGGAGGTTATGCCGAATATTTTTGTAAAATTCTTGGCATCAGCTAGGGTCGTTACAGAAGTGGCGTCGGCAAAGGCAGAAGGTAGTGGTGCTGATGGAAGTCAACAGAGGTGGAGGCGGAGGTGGAGATGGCGGCGACGGTGGTGCATATATGGAAGGTGGTGGTGATGGAAGTTGGTGCATGGCGATGGAGGTGTCGGTAGTGGTGAGGGTGGCGGCGGCGGTGATGGTGGTAATGGAAGTTGGTGGCGGTAATGGTAGAGGTGGCGGTGTTGTGATGGTGGTGGAAGGAAGCTACGGTGGTGGCGATAGCAATGACGGTGGTGGAAGGTGGCAGTGATGGTGAAGGCGGCGACAATGGTGGAGGCAACAATGGAGATGGCGGTGGCTAAAAGTAGTGAAGGTGGCGGCATTGTGCTTGTTAAAGGTGGCAACAATGGTGGTGGTGGATTTTGGACTTGAAGTATGAGGGTTTTTTAGGAACTTGATTTTTTAAAATATATTACTTAGAATTGAAATGGTCATTCCATATATTTAGTAGTGAAATGAATTTTTATTTTCATAAATAAATTTTTATTCTAATAGAATGGTCATTCACACTTTAAAATGCACGTCAAACAAAAGAATGATTGGATTGAATATTTTATTTTAATTCTACACACCAAACGTTGATGTAGCATGATTCCTTCAAGTATCTTAACAATGTGTTGTATGTGACAGTCGGGAAAAAATTCACCCGATAGAGAGCAAAAATGAAGAAAAAAATTTAAATTAGAAATTAGAAATTTAGTTGCAATTAAAAGATAAATGTCCAATCAATTTGTATGGTCACTAATTAGTGATATGATTTTCATGCGTGACCCATATAATAAAATTGATTCATCAACATCAAAATATTCCAACAGTAATAATTAATGTCATGTTCTGATCAGTTGTTCTTTGTCTTTTACAAGATCTTGTCATATCTGGAACTCAAATTGTAGGGTGTCAATTTCATTTCCATTTTTTTTTTAATCTGATATTTTAGGGTATCCATTTTGTTAGAAATTGACGACAAAACCATTGTTTTTTCATCGTTATGATTTTTTTTTTTTTTTTTTACCAGCAAATAATATACACATTCACTTATTTAATTGTATGAAGATATAAACTTTTGATCTTTCACAAAAATAAAAAAATATCATTAAATTATAACATTTTATTAAATCGTTCTAATACTTAATTCTCTTGTACGGACATATCTTAGAACTAATTAACATAAAAGCACAAGCCTTTATTTAGCTCAACTTAGAATCAAGTCTCAATCCACAGGTACAAATTGTGTTAAAAAGATGGTCAAAAACCTTACGTGAAGATTATCAATTAAGTTGTAATTAAACATGTGACATACCTTATTTTTATATATTAGGAAAAACGAATTCTTGCATTATTATTTAATTTTTTTTTAATGATAAATACATTGGGAGATCACAATCTCCGGACTTAAAGGGGAAGAAAGTCGCTCCATCCATGTCATGCATTGCACCTGGCCTTCACACACACACACATCAAGTTGAAAATGGGCCAATTATTATGTTTAAAAGATCGTCAATAATCTTTGTACTTTTTTATATATTCATTTATATATTTCTATTATATATATATATATATTGGCGTTATATAGATTCGAATCAAGATAAAATGTCAATTTGGAAGAAGGGTTGAACTCCATTCATTAATGGGCCATTACTAGACTCAAGCCCGCATATTTCATGTGTGTTATGTTGCTGGCCTACGCGGTTACTCATGATGGATTTCAATTTCAGAGATTAAAAGCTGCGTTGACTCATTGTTTTTGGTTCCAGGGTCAGTTAATAATGTTAATTTTGGGTCAGTTAATAATGTTAATTTGTCATCTTAGGGGAAAGACGAAGAGAATACTTTATTCACCAAAAAAAAAAATTGTAAAATTTTAATTTTTGACTTAGTTTTCAAAATAATATTACAAATACAACAAATACTAAAAAAATTAGTTTACAAATTCACTTAACACAATGTAATTATGTATTGGACAATTTATACACAAGTAATTACCCCTTTGACAAGAATTTATATATTTGGGTTCAAATTACCCCTCACCGAAACTCCTAATTAAACCCCTCTCTATCTTTAAAAATGATGTCACAATCCCAAAAACGCCTAATTTCTTTATTTGTTTTGGATACACTAGTCAAATGTAGATGTAAATGCGATTAAATTGAGAATTTCTAATAACCTCCAACAATAATAGCCTTGGAGAAATTATTGGTCACTCTAATAGTGGACGCCATCACTCTTACATTGTGTCAAAAGGGCAACTCCAATCACAAAAAAGTCATTATGATCCACTTGAAAGTCCCTTTGGATAAATTTTTACACTACATAGTCTTGTCTAATCATAACTTGATGCATAAATAAATTTGTCACTTTTATTTAGATTTTTAGTTATTTGTATAATTGTGATCGGACAGAACCATATAGCACAATGTAATAACTTAAACTTACAATTAGTTTGAGAGTAATTAGAATAAAAAAGAAAAGTTTAAACTTTAACCTAAAATTTTCTTGTGATTCCGAATTTAAGACATCGATTTTGCACCAAGACATAATAATACCTAGACGCCCAATAATTTTTTTTTTTTTTGAAAGGTGCACCCAATAATTTCTTAATAATCTTCTGTTGCTGCTGAAAGTCCACAACGGACTCTGAGAGAAGGTCGGTTGTCCACTGCCACAATATGCAGCACTACTTGTGGCCTAAACTTTAAACTCTATTGATTAATTAAGTTAAGCAAGGCAGGAGATTAAGCTAAGCTTATAAATTAATATAAACAAATTTCCTACAAAACATCAAAATCACCTATCACTCCTCATTTTTCTTTCCCTTTCTTATTTGAGTTCAAGTAAAGAGTTATTTATATTTAATTAGTGTAACAAATCAAAACATGAAAAACCAGCCACGCCTTAGTAATTGTCCTCAACTCATACGTTACCTCTCTCTCTCTCTCTCTCTCTCTCTCACACACACACACACACACACACACAAACACACACACATATATATGTGTGTATATTTATTTGCATCATCCAATTTTGTAGTGAAAGAAGAGAATGGTTAGCAGCTGTTGAAGAAGACATTATTCCGTGTGGTGGGGTTTATAAGTCTTTTCAACCGAACAGTTGTAGAAAAAAAGACTCAAGTCTTCTATATTTGGTTGTTATATTCATGAATTTCATGTACAATAAATGGAGATATATATATATATATATATTGTAGAAAAAAAGAAGACTCAAGTCTTCTATATTTGTTTGTTATATTCATGAATTTCATGTACAATAAATGGAGATATATATATATATATAATTGTTTATTCGTCGATAAAATTGACTAATTGGGTCTACTTGTTTTTATGTCAATGAGTCAGGTAGTGTGATAGTTAGTGTCCCATTCGGTACGCAAACGGGAGACGCTCTGTTTAAACGACTTATCTCTCTCCCAAACCAATTGTCTTCCTCCTCCTCCTACTCCTCCTTCCACTTTCCATCATTTTCTCTCTCTGCTTGAACGTGCTAGAAAATGGCAGAAAATCCAGAGTTGGTGAGAATCATTTTTTGGGTCTTGTTTCTCTTCTGTTATCTTCACGTTTGATTTCCATGTCATATTGTATTGCAACTGAACTATTAACTCTCTCTTTCTCCAAATGTTTGTCCCAGGAAAATGTGGATTCTGATACTCTTAATTCATCTTGGGAATTAGAAGAAACGGGTTCCCAGAAAATTTCAGTTTCCGATCAAACAAACAGCTTGCAATACACAAATATGAAACATGATAGCTTCATAGTTGACATGGAACGCTTCCCTCAGCAGACTCATAAAGACCTAAATGCAAATTCAAGAATAACTGTGAGTATTCCCTTTATCTTCTCCCTATGCTCTGTCTTGATGATTTTTTATCACCCTTCCTCTGTTTTCCTTCCAAGTTTCGGAATTTCGTTTTCTTTTTTCCAGTTTTGAAATAATTCATTTTCATCATCATTGTCTTGATGATTTTTTATCACCCTTCCTCTGTTTTCTTTCAAAGTTTCGGAATTTCGTTTTCGTTTTCCAGTTTCGAAATAATTTATTTTCAACCTCATCTTGCTCATATGAAGGGGTGGACACAAGAATTCTCCCTCCAATCTTTTCTATTGCCATTTCAATTATCAAATTTAAAATTTAAAAGTTAATTTTAATAACCTCATTTAATGTTATTTTTGGTAAAGAAATCATTTTCAATTGTCTTTTGATTTTTAATTGATTTATTAATTAATTACGTATATAAAGAATGAACAATAACGTTCCCAACATATCACGCTGTCAACCATTCATTGAACATTGATGCCCCTACAAAATGAGTGTCTTTTTCAAGCATTTTCAATCATATCTCCTTTTTTTCTGTCTGTCCAATAATTTCCTTTAAAAATCTTGTAACAATAATATTTATACTTGTCATTTTATAACCTCAAATTTTTATATTTTCAGTCCATGCTGTGCCTTTATATTTTATACACACACATTAAATATGTATGAGTTTATATATTTATAGAATATGTTTTTATTTTGATTAAAAGATGCAGAGGAGCCTTTCAAGAATAGGGTCTCAGAGAGGTGGGGAGAAGAAGATCAAGGAAAGTTCTGGCAATGAGAGAGACGTTTTTCTTGGTACCTCTACACCAAGAGGTAAAATCGGAATTTGGAACTAAAAAACAAAAGTAATGTCATGTCAACTTTGTATTTTAATTTCATTATATTGGACACACATGAAAGAACAGGGCAAAGGGACAAAGGGTCTCTGTTTCTTTCTCTCTTTCAAACCTAGCTTCCACAAAAGAAAGAATCCGATTCTTCTATGAATTAGACTTGCTTTGTCTACATTTTTGAGTGGTTATATATTCATAGATGTGCATTATCCTTTAATAATATAAATTATACGTTATTGTTCGGTGAACAGTGGAGATCACCCCATGTATGAGATGTGATCTCCCCAGACAATATGAACGCTTCACTAATCGAAAATGCTAAATAACCAAAAATGCTAATTGACGGATTTCTATTCCTTGGATGCATTATCTTATCCAATGCATCATTACAAATAATACCAATATGTTTAGATTGGTTATACCTAATGAAATCATACAATATTGCATTACTTATCACTTGTACCTACTTCACCTCAAGGTTGGTGACTCATTTGTTAGTTATGACACCTGACTCTATGATCATTAATATACTAATCAATATGTTAGTTCACTTTTTTCTTCTTTTTCTTTTTTTTGTTGTTTGTATGGATGTGATTAACATTTGTGAATTAATTAAACCCCTTAGTTTATGTGCAGAAACACCGACCTTTAATTTTTTTTTTTTCCAGCATAGTGATATATGACTTAATGCAATTAAAATTTTGAGAAAGTACAGCAAATTTAGAATGAAATTAAATGGGGTTATCTTTACGTAGTGGTTTAGAACTTTAGATATAGTATTGTCATCATCATCATCATTATCATTATTATTATTGTACGCAAAGCTTGGTAGGTTATATAAGTTAATAGAAGATTAGGTAGGAGAGGGACCTGAAGTAGATATATACAATGCAATATATATAAAACATGGTATCATATATATATATTGGTAGACGTAATGTAGTCCGAAAATTTGGGACTGTGGAAAAATGGTCCTAGACTACAAAAAGGGTTTGAACATTTATTGAACTTTATTATCCATATATACAATACATAAGACATATTACAGAATGTTCATTCCATTACTACTACCAATTCAATGCTTTGAGTTATGTGCATTTGCATTTTCATTTATCAGCTGAATTTTATGACTAAAAAATGCAGCTGCTCTAGGTGGAGCCAGCGTGCCAGAAAAGTCCATGGTGGTGACAGTGGGGGCCACTGATCATCCTATCAGCCCACAAGTCCACCACCAGATCACTATCATAACCGGCGGCAACATTAGCAGCAGCAGCAGCACCACCACCACCACCGAAAGCAAATGTGGAGGCAAGAGATTCAGTTTCAGGCGCTCTTCGCCCTCTTGCGCCATTGACCCCAGGAAGATACTTTTCTTCTTTGCTACATTGTAAGTTCACTATCTACCACAATTAGGTTAAAGGGGGTAAACTCCCGACCTCAAGGTCACGATAAAGCAACTTTACCGCTGATCCAAGATTCGCCCTCAATTTATTTATTTTTTTTGTCGCAGGTCAAGTATGGGAACCATATTACTGATTTATTTCACACTTTCCATGGGCAAGCTCAATGGGGATGGCGACGCTCTCAATTGGTAACAGCAACATAAACAAAAAGAACAAAGATTATATCATAGTTCGCGCTTGATCATGCTGGGACGACGCCATGTTCTTGAACTAATTCTTGCAATGACAGACTTGTGACAAGATGATTGAACAAAAGCAAGGAAAAAAAGACCATGGAATGTTAAAACAGAAAAAGGCCATGGCTTCAAACTTGGCACCTTTTCACTTTTTATACTGGTTTTTTTTTTTTTTCTATGAAATCTTCTAGGTGGAAACAAGGACAGAGAGCACTATGACAATGGTTGAGAATCTTGATTTTTATATACACATGTATAGTATAGATCAAAACACATGATGTGCTTACTTTTTTTGCATCTCTGCACAAGTCTAATGGAGGAACAATTTTAGTTATTTATTTTCTTTTCATATATTCAGTCCCTCTGCAATCCAACCCCAACTGCCCCTTTTTTTCTTTTTCTTTTTATCCTGGCAAATTAGGGAGAGAGGGGACTCGAATACGGGCACACCTGTTCGGAAAGTTGGGCGCTCTACCAACTAAGCGACTGGGTAATGCCCAACTGTCCTCTTTTGTTGTATGTGGCTTTCATGTGAGTAGGCAAAGAAACAAATGCAGCAATGGGATATAAATGTCTATGTCACTTAAAGCACTTCATCTCTCTGAATTAATGTGGGGTTATGGATACTTTGGTAGACAGAGAATGCTTTTGTAAGGTGAGATATAAAAAGCAACTTCATAGCATTACTAATTCATTGAATAGTTAGGTCACTTGGTTATAGTCTTATAGATACAATGTTTATGCACTGGCATGCAGACCATGTCTGTAGCTAATAATTCATGAGGCTACTTCTCATATATGTGGTAATTAAAAGGTATATTTTTATTCTATTTAAGCAAGATGCACGGACAAATTTACCCCTCTACCCTTCCACTAAGCTTTCTACAACTGAATGAGATTAGGCATTTTAAATTGTTGTAAAAAAATAAATAAATAAAAAAGAGCTGACATTAATTTTGTATGTGGAAGTGAAACAAGCAATAGGATTACAAATATATAAATAAATAAATAATTATATAGCTGCAATAATAATGTAAGCCAACACAGAGAATAGAGTTCTGAATATTCTTATTCAATTTGTGTGAGGAATTATTAGCTGGTATATATGATTAACAAGTTCCACAAACAAAAAAGGGATTATAATATCAGAAAATGAATTTCTCATGATTATTTTTTGTTGTATTTCATCATGGTAGAAATCAAGAATGTGTTGACAAAACACTTGTATGTTTCTCAAAAACAATTTCTAATTATGGCCTTAAATCCACCCTAAGCATGTCTTTATGAAATCAAAGTTGATAAATTGAAAACATGAATATTAGTAAAATTATGTGATGACTATTTTTATGTATGTTTTGGGTTCCTAAATCCTAATACCTTATCTGCAGATGATAACTAGTATCTTACCTTAACGGAAAAATATAAAATATATAATCATGCATTGTGTGTGCGCATATGAATATATATCATTCACACAGTCTTGTAGGAATCATTGTGTGCGCGCGCTACGTGGTGAGACAACTGAATCCATAGGCATTTGTTGCGTGAGTGCCCTACTCCTAACACTGAATGAAATTCGGTTTTATGAAAATAGATTGAAAAACAAGGTGGACTCAATTTCTTCAAATATGACGCAACAGATCCTTGAGTTTGGGATCTTTCAACCAGAAGGTTCAGCCCTGGCCATTAGGCCAATTAGTATAACTTCTCCTTCGGAGGTGCGGGGTTCGATTTTTATACCAAGCATTTGTGGGTGTGGGTGCGTGTGTCTATTTACCTAAGCGGAAAAATAAATAAAAAATAATGTTTGCATGGGCTGACCTAGAACTTTAGGTAAAAGGCGTAAGATTGAAATTTTGTAATAATTTCAGGAGGAGCACTAGCAATATTTTATGGGTATATATTGACAAAAAAAAAAAAAAAATCAAGGTGGTCCGTCCCTGATTGTTTGGCCCCCTCGGCCACTGGGAGGTGAAGGGTTCGAGTTTTATAACAAGCATTTGTGAGTGTGTGTGACTATTTACCTAATCAGTAAAATAAAAAAATAAAAAATAAATTGTTTGGCCCCCTCGTTTCTCAAGACATTATGGATAGATCTATGTTTATATAACTAAGAATTCCACAACTGTAACCTGCTGCTATAAATCAAAGTCATGTTGCCATTGACATTTTCCCTCCTTTACAAGACCAAGTTAAGCAAGGAGGGTGGTGGTGGTGGTTTGATTCTAAGAGATCATACACAAAACCCAATAATCCACAGTCCAGGAACAGCCCAAAAATATGCAATGGTACAGCCCAATGCTCTGAGCAAGTGGGCTCTTAGAAATAGGTCAAGTGAAGCCAAGTGGCTTCACCAAGCCCTCTTGGCTTGTATTGGAATCTAAAAGATTTTAGAATTCTTAAGGCCAAACCGTAACACTGAGCTCCATAACTCAGAAGCATTTGTGGCAGTGAAGACGAACTAAGTAGCCCAACTCCATTTTGAGAACTATATAGAATTTTTACAACTTGCAAAATCTTGTTGTCAAATAATATATATGCAGTGCAAAGATAGAGAAAGTGTATCAACTATCAACTGGCCTATATGGATTTGATTGCATATATAGATATCAAATTATTTGAATCGAAGACTAAAAATGGGCATCAATCAGGCGTAGAAATGGGGCAGATTTGATCTTTGTATCTGTTAGAATATAATCACTCCCAACTTCTGGTCATGATAAAGCCTCTCTCGTTCATGAGCTTGGTATTAGTGTGTATATCTATATCTATATATATATATGTATATATATACATACACTCTGCTTTTGGTTAAATCTTTCAATTACTTCGATAGATCACACCATCTAGTAAAGTCTTGAAACCAGTTCTTATCAAAATATGCATTCATGAAGTACAATTACACAACTCTGATACTTATTTGCACAACTACATTGAAATATATATATATATATATATATATATATATCACTATTCACTAGCCTAAAAGTGCATAAATTACATTCTCAAACTACACACCCCCTCTACGAGTCATAGCATTCGCCTGAAGATATATATGAATTACAGCTTTTGGTGTCTTTGATGCTTGGCAGATCTTACTTTCTTGGTTGATGAGGGTTGTTTTATATGATACGTACACTACACAAATCACCACTTCTAAGCATAAAAATGAAACCTAGGAAGCCCTATTTAAAATGTCTTACTACACAAATCACCATATATGCCAACTATATATGCAAATCACCATATATGCCAACTATATGCTAATGTACCTTTTTTTTCTTTTTCATATAACCTAACCTTAGTAGATAAATAGTAATATTCAAAGTCTATTAGCCACATGCAAGAAACCTAGGAAGCCCTATTTTTTTACCCAATTTTTTGACATCCGCAGTAACCTGCTCTCTGAATTCTCCAAAGCTAAATTTTCTATACATGGAAGGCTCAACGCAACTCTGTATCACAGTCTCATAGGATGGGCAGAAGAAGTACGCAGTAGAGAACCTCTGCACTAGCTTGTTGGTGACAACCCTATGTTCAACACTCTTATAAACACCATTGCTCCATGCCTGCATCACAAAGATTCAATGAGAAAAACAAGTTAAATGAATAGACTATTTGTTGAGGAATTAATTTTAAAAAAAGATATGTAACACTCATAATTGTACCTCAAATAAGTCACCGATGTTGATAATCAGAGAGTCTGGATTAGGTTTAACTGCTACCAATTGCCCATCTTTCACTAGCTGCAATCCTCCGACCTGATCTTGATATAGTATAGTGAGGAAGTCGCTATCAGTGTGTGGAACCAAACCAAACACCTCAGGAGATACCGGACATGGTGGGTATCTGTTCATCCGAACATAGCAAGTGCTTGGTAAACATTTTTCTTTAAAGAATGTCGATTCGTGACCCATATTCTTTGCCAAAATTTCAGCCAACTTTTGCGCAAGATCAGAGACTGTTGTAGCAAATTGTAGCATTGCTGAGCTGAATAAATGTAAGGAAAAAATAATTCAAGACAAAAGTTAGTACATGATTACTTAATTTCTTAAACTTGTATTGAAATCTCTTACTCTTTGACTCTTCTAACACAACGGTTTATGCTGACATACATTAATTATGACTTAGATAATATCAATAAAACAATTCGAATTATATTGCTGACATACATTAATTATGACTTAGATAATATCAATAAAACAATTCCAATTATATTCTCCTATTTATATATGAAATGCCAAAAATTAGGTCTATCTCGAGTCCTTCCTCCCCAGGGCCCTAGTGTAGTGGGACCATAACAGCATAATGTCAATCGACTTCATTTGAATTGGTACCAATCATCGCGAGGCAGGACCCCATTGGTGGGCACATCAAGTCCTATGTCAAGCTGTATTGCCAGATTTCCATCTAATCCAGCATGTAACAAGCAACAGAGGTTTGTTTTGACATCTTAGGTACATACTAATATTTTTACTTTGAGCTGATAAGAATTTAACCCTTAAACCCCACATCTTTGTTCAGATAATGCAACACTTTTTTACTATTCTACCACGACTTAGACAGCAGTAATGTTACTCTGCCAGCAGTTGAAAAGACTTGCAGTAGAAATTACATAGAATGGCACATAGAAATTGTAGGTGTCCAAAATATGTTAGCCCACATAGCTTGGTCAAATAGTTAAAGAATTATGCCACATCATCAACAATGACCACATAGTTGGGTCAAATAATCAACAGACTACGCCACATCAGCAACAATGGCCCACAAATCAAACGGTCAACGGTCAAAGATACGTGTCATTTACCACGTTATTATTATACCTGAACAAAAGAGCAAAGACTTAAAGACCTGAATTGGGAGCATGATTCGGGATTGCCTGGGATCCGAGAAGTACTTGGTTTGGTGGCTGAAGTCCAGGGCTCGTCGAGTTGACCCTCGACCTGACTTGCAGAGAGAAAAATACTATTTTGACTCCGAGATTATCAACCTCATTTTAATATAGCTTTATAATTATTTGAGATATTTCTCTTATTATGTGACGTCATCTAATGATATCATCCAACCTCTCACCTGGCTTATATAAGGAAGTATTCCAAGGCCAAGAGAGGTAGAGCAAACAGGGAGGAAAACACCTCCTAGACATTGAGAGCCTCTCTTATAGATTGTCTTCACGACCCTTAAACATTTACCAAGGGAGTCAATGGTGTTTAGTATACTACCATCTTCTTTCTCTCTCTCTCTCAAGTTTGTTTGGGCTTTCATCTCTCTCAGTCCACCTCGGATTCTATCATGTTGTCTGGATCACTCAGATTTGTGTATGATATCACCATTTATATGTATTTTATATGTATTACGAAAATGAACCCCCACATAAATTAATGAAATAAATATATCAAATACAATATCACAAGATTGTTATCACTTTTGAAACACTAAACTATTTCTCTAACATTATGTGATGTAAAAACCACAAAATGCTGTGTTCTTCACAAGATTCATGTCTTGATGGATTCTCATGCTGAGTGGGATTCAAGATCTTTCTTGAAAGCTCGGACTTTTCCAACAATTGAATTGACAAAGACATGATGATTTAAGCACAGTAAATGTCGGCATTGCTTCTAATTCAACTTTAATTATCTACTTAGTGCATAGAAAGATTCTATACTTAAATTGAACGGTGTTGTACTTTATTAGCTAATCACTCATTTCACATATTGTATGGTAATCACTCATTCCATATTGGGGGAGAATCATTAGATTCAAGTGGTTTATCAGTCACAATCAAGTGGTTTTGAACCCTCAATTGAGTAGTAATATTGGATATGTTAACCCCTTTCGGTTCAATTTTTTAATATAATCCGTCAAGAATGCTAATTACCATAGTCATTTCACTCTCCTAAAATGCTGAAAACATCAAATCAGCAAGTGGGTATTTGGATTACTTTTTACTTTTGAAAAATTGTAGGTAAAGGTGAATCAGCAAATTAAAGTTTGACAGTAAGTGATATATATCGTATTCCATTGGAATTGCTTTCACAGTTACTACGTTTTATGCTTCACTGAATCACTGTTTTCTTTTGGTCTGATTTCTAGAGGTAGTACTACTAGTTTCACTCCATTTATAAGTACAAATTGGTTGATAATTTTGTGTACCCTAAGCCAGTAAAGTGGCCCACACACCATAGCTAATGTTGTGGTTTTTCAAATGAGTGAGTACTTTCACACTCGAACTAAGTTTTCGATACATAGAGGAGCATATAGAAATAAGACAAGGCCTGATATGCCCTAATTAGGAATTAGGGCCTTCTCCTAGCTACACACATGCATTAATTCTCATTTATTTAGCACAATTAAAAAGATAAATAAATGTTAAATTAGGTAAAACTAAATTAAACTGGCCTAGCTTAATCAGATGAACGTAGGTTTTCCAGTAAAAATTAGTATTTTGTTTTAAGAAAGTTCATTTTTATAATCTCTAGTAAAATATGTTCTTAAACTGTCTTCCCATATGGCAAAATTGGACTAAACTTATGAGTTTAAACTTTAGACTAATTTTTCATCCACTCTAATTTCAGGGCTCCAAAGACAGCATTAGATTAACTAAAAACACATATATAGGTATCTTCTTATCATAATCTCATTCAACACATAGAAAACAACACACATATACAGACATATACATATATATATACACATAGAAGAGAGGTACCTGAGATTGGTGTGACCACCGGACTCCTCGATACTGGTCATTGGGACATGAAACGCCTCCGACCAGTTGAGCTGACTGGGAAAAGTAGCCGTTTTGGTTCCCCAACGGTAACTACCGGCCTTGAAAGGCAAACCTTCTTCATTTTCCTTCACTTTAAATGGCTTCTCGAAAACCCTAAGCTGCTCTCTTCTCATTCTCTCTAGAATCTTCCCAGGTATACCGTGGTTCATTACCTGAAAGAAACCCCATTCTTCCGATGCCTTCACTATTTCTCTCTTGCACTCTTCCACATCCAACTCCCCACCTTTCAATCTACTCAGGTCAATGATTGGCAGTTCGCATTCTTCCACCACCACGAAGTCCTCCGGTATGGTTGCTCCGGTGAGACTCTCGTAGAACTCCAGCAACGGTGGCTCCGAAGAACCCATATTTATAGACTGAAAAAATTAGCAAGGGAAGCATTATATATATTGAAAATAATAAATTGCATGGTACAAATTAAATGACTAGTTAGACTTACAATATATTAATAGCAAGAAGAAGAAACGAAAGAGTTGAGGTTGGTTGTTATGATTCTTGTTCTTGTTTTTTCGTCGTCGATGAAAACGTTATTGTGTCACCTTTTGTCCATGTGTTTTACTTTGGAGATAAAGACGATTGCATGTCTTTTATGGGGAGGTAGAGGTTGAGAAAAAGAGAGGGTTGGGGTTGTAGGCGTGACAGGTGAGGTGAGGTGAGGTATAAACGGATGTGGAGAGAGAAACAGAGACAGACTTGGGCTTTAGGCGTGACGAGTGAGGGTATTAATAGGTCATTTTAGAGATATGCCCTACAATAATAATAATGGATTAAAGTGGGGACACTTTTTATAAATTTTAAAATCGTCCTTTTAGATTCATCCCATAAAACTACATAAATTTATTTGGGATTAAGACACAAATTATGATAATAAAAAACTTTTTAAAGGATATATGCAATAAATGCAGTGTTCCTTTTTAGAATTATTAAGATGATTTATATATATATATATATATATATATATATATATATATATTATCAAGTTAGGAAATTTTTAAAAACTTAACGTGTAATTATCAAAAAATAATTTATCTAAAAAAAAAAAAGGGGGGGGACTAGAATTTTGTACCATATTTGCAAATGTTGAACAATGAAAATGATTAATGTCCAAATTTGTTAATAATTTAGGAATATTTTCTAGGATTTAAATGGTGGCCCACGGCCCACATATCCAATATATGAAGGCGGTGTGATGTACTTGGTTTTTTTTGGAGTGATCCAACTCTTTCCTCGGCCATAGAAAGGAGTAAAGAACAGCAAAATATAGAGGACTTGTACGTGACATCCAAGTAGAATCTGATTTTGGTTTGGGTGGGGTCTAGAATTTAGGTCTATCTATTTAGCACCGCCATAGTTTTAAAATTATTAAATTATTCTTCATTATTTTATTTTAAAATTTTTGACAAATTAAAAATAAAAAGATGAGATAGAGTGCACGTAAATATTACAAAATCAGAGTTAAGGATGACACTTTTTTATATTCGAATATACATATAAATATTATAAAATTTGAGTTGAGAATGAGATTTGCTTAGACTTGAATATAGTTGTCGTATTATTACTACTATCACACACAAAAATAAAATTAATTACTCGCATGTACATTGTAAAAATTGAAAGCACCAAATATAACATTTAATTGAGAAAAAAAAAAAAAAAAAGGTTTGATTGTGTCATCCCATAAGAAACCACCTATGTGAGACTTATGTACCATTATAACAAGGCATGACTTACCCCCCCCCCCCCCCCCCCAAAAAAAAAAGGAGGAGGAGGAGGAGGCACAGGGAGTCATTGCATCATTTAAATTGTGACAAAGTTCAAATGCATCTAAATTTGTAGTAACTTTTATAAATGATAGCTCTGATTTGAAAGTTCTTGAAATACTCAAATGAATAAAAATGGAATGAAGATGAGACAGAGTGTGTATAGATATTACAAAATCAAAGTTGCTGACGATACTGGCTTAGGCTTGGATGGGAGCCCCACTGGTACTATTGTCACACACTAAGAGTATAGCTATGAATGCCTCTAAATCAGTAATAACTTTTACATTCTAATTCGAAAGTCATTGAAATATTCAAATAGATAAAAATGAAATGAGGATGAGTCAGAGTTCGTATAGATAATATAAAATCTGAGTTAAGGTCGAGACTTGCTTAATTTGAATAGGCTTAGATGGGGTTGTTTCACTAGTACTATTATCACACACAATCAAAAGATGAATTATAGCTCTGAATGCCTCTAAATCCGTAGTAACTTTTACATTCTAATTCGAAAGTTACTGAAATACTCAAATAGATAAAAATGGAATGAGGATGAGTCAGAGTTCGTATAGATAATATAAAATCTGAGTTGAGGACGAGACTTGCTTAATTTGAATAGGCTTATATGGGTTGTTTCACTGGTACTATTATCATACACACATGCAAAAGATGAATTAATTATTGGCATGTGGTCAAAACTAAAAGTCAAAATTCTCTGCGGTACAATATTAGATCGGACATAATTAGATGAGACATAGTGCATATAGATATTACAAAATCATGAGAGCCATAAAACTCGTCCAAAAAATTAAGAATATGGATTTTTTGCAATACAACAATGAATCGGACGAAATTGAATAAGACACAGTGCATTACAAACTCACAAAAGTGTTCAAGTGATAAAATTCGTTTGATGCAATATTAGGGAGGTTCCCAACTCTAAAATCAAAATAGGGCTAGGTGTCTTCCCAAAAAACAACTCTATGTGATGTGGACTTATGTTCCACTATAACAAGAGATGAAGAATCATCGCATCAGCTGAGTTGTGATCAAGTTTAAATGCCTCTAAACTTGTTGAAACTTTGACAAAGGATAGTCCTAAGATTATATGTTGTCATGTCTCTGTTTCTATTGGAAGCTGGAATTTCTTTACTGTCCAGCTGCCTTTAATACTTGGAATAAATTGGTCAAAAGTTTTGCATACATAAAGACAAAAATCAGGTCACATGCAGGACTCAGATTAAAGCTTCTGGTTAAAAAAAATAAAAAATAAAATAAAAAAAAACCTAAGCTAACATTGGGACAATGGAACTCTGAGAAAAGTTTTAAAAAGACAATTCTATGAAATAAAAATTAAAAATTATTGTAACCCAAATTTCTAAAAGTAGTTTGAAAAACTTTCAAAAAAAAAAAAAAAAAACCAATCAAGGATATCCTTAAAGTTTCACTACAGAAATTTAAACCTCATTCTTTAATTTTAAAAAGTGAAAAAGTATCATTAAATTAATGTCTACAAAATACTACTAAGTTACTTGATAATCTTCTTAATAAAAAAATACATATTTAAAGAAAATATGTATGCCTTGGATCCATGTACAGGTTATATGGACAATCCTGATCCCTTCAAAGTGATCAGGGCAATCGATAACAGTACTATGGACAATCTTGATCCCTTCAAAGTGATCAGGGAAATCGAAAACAGTATTGCAGAGGATCCCAGTACCATGTTTTTGGGGATCAAAATATATTAAACATACTTTTGAACTACTGTGATTTTCTTAATAAAAGCATATCTAAATTAATCCTATGACTATTTGTCGTATCGATCTCCTTAACCAAAAAAAATCCACATTTTTAATCGATTTTTAAATTATAAAATTATCTATTTAAAGTAATTGTTAGTGGTAAGTCTTTAAAAAGTCGAGGATACTCTGATAAGTAAACGATTTCAATAATTTTGGGACAACTAAAAATGAAAAGAGTACATAATATATTAGAGAGGAGACAAAAATGAGCAGAGCCACAATTAGTCCATCAAAATGTGATGCATTCACTTGACAAATAACACAAAACTTAGAAGCAGAATTAAACATTTTAATTACCCCTACCTGGTTTAGATGCGCCGAAAATTTATCAGACTTGAGTGACATCGCTTCCTTCAATGAACACAAATAGTGGAGCTTTAGGGGCACATATTGATCCTGCATTTTTCTGCTCATTTATGGACTCAACTGGACACACACATCACTTTAAATCAGTAACACATGGAGATTAAAGATAACTATTAAGATTTAAGGTTAATTACTTGCATGACAATGCACGGAGAGGTCAGTGTTGTTGATGTTTTATTAGTATTTTTCAAACGGGTAGGAAAGAATCTGATTTTATTTTATTTTCAAATCGGTAGGAAAGAATCCGAAATATATTTAATTTCCAGACGCCACATTATCAACCTTGTTGAAAGCAATGGCAGAAAGAAACAAGTGAATGAGAACAAATTAACATGTGACAGAAAATGATTTATTAATCTTTCAGAAATGAAAACGAAAGACATATTTATAATTAATGATTTTGAAAAAAAAAAAAAAAAAAAAGACAGAGAACTAACAAAAAAAAGAGAACTAACAACACATACAAATTTAGAAAAGAACCAACTAAAAGAAAATGAAGGTCTATAAATGGACTACTTACAAATATAGAAGAATATTGCTATGGAGAGAGAGAGAGAGAGAGTGTGTGTGTGTGTGTGTGTGAGAGAGAGAGAGAGAGAGAGAGAGAGAGAGAGAAAGAGGGAGAGGTGTGAGAGAAGATTTGAGAGGAGAGATATTTTTTTAGTGTGAAGATAGTGGAGGATGGAGAGTTTATGCTTAAGAGAAGAACACGCCTCTCGCAATGCAATCGGACAAACAAGAAGGTACATATCTTGCTTCTTTAAGGCATAGATATATATGTGATTGATTTTTTTCTTTCCTTATTTGCTTCCTTTTTTAGCCTCAGAGAGGAGGAGGAGAGAGAAAGATAAAGGAGGCAGAGACTTGGAAGAATGAGAGCCAAACGAAATGGGTGTCAATGAAAATGTTTTAATCATGTCGAGGTAGACCTGGATGAATATAGACCAGTTTTTCTTTATTAGTATTATTGTTTTTTCTTTATTTTTTGAAAAACTTACAATTATTGAAACTTTTTAACAAAAATCTATTTCAATTCAGCACGTGTAGCTTACTATCCGATTCACTTGGAAAAAAAATTAATTCAATTTTTTTTTTTTTTTCTACTATATCTCAAAATACAAGTCACCTAACATGCGAAGCTCAATGTTGAATTAATTTTAATTCTTTTTAATACACTGCAAAAATAAACGATTTTAATTCATATTTTAATTGCATCAGAGTCCATGTCGGCACTAAGCATACGTGGCAGTATCTGAGGCAACCCAGACGTCACACTATGTGGGCGCCACTCCCTGACCTGGCCCTCACTCCTCTGCCACCAGCTCGCCATAGGGCCTCCTCTCAAGCTGCGTCGTGCCTTCAATGACTTATTGCGCTTTCATGTCAGCGACTTTTCGAATCCCGATTTATCACAAGTGAAAGTTAGTTTAAAGACTAAATTATAATCATTAATTATAATGTATCCTAATTATCCATTAAGGAGGAGGATTCCTTTACATAGAGTGAGATTTTCATTTGTAATCTTGACATTTATGGAGTCAACAAAAGATTATTATGCAATTTCAGAAGAGGAGGAGGGTGTGCAGAAGGAAAGGCAGTGCAGAGTCGGCGTGCATGAGGAGTCGTGACATAGCCCGTATGGTAAAAAAATAAATAAATCTAAATATCATTACTCGAAAAAAAATTTCACGCCCTTAATTTGCATGGAGGCTGCACCTTGAGTGTTGAAAAGGGTCAAAATGACACATATGTAGAGCTAATTTCAAAAAACAAAGAATTCGATAGCATCAACATGAAAGAATCTATGATATTAAAGAACTTATAAAGATTTGTACAGCATAGAATTTTTTTAAAAATTGAACAGTTTTAAGACTATTCAAATATCAAAAATAGTAATTTAATTATAATGCATCTTAATCGTTAATTAGGAAGAAAAGTGTGTGTGAATATATATATATATAGACACATGAAAGTTTAAACATTTTGCTGTGTTAGAATCTCAATATTCATCAGTAAAATATTTATTATTTTTTTTTTCTTGAATGGTGGTAAAATATTTATATTTAATGAAAATATTAGAAATTGTGTTGCAGCCCAGAATGGTGCGTGAATACGTATAATTAAGAGAGAGTGAATATTATTTCGCCAAAACTTTTTATCTTATCCGCTCACAGAATTAAGAGGTGTGAACATTGTAAAATAAGAATGTGTCTTTCTCTTAATTGCGTCATTCAGTGTACGAAAGTAATTATCACATGTCTTTCTTTCTGTATTAGTTATGAATTAACTCCGATATTTTGGGTTTCACTCGGATCAGTTTTTGCCTGCTCTTCCTCCTTTCATTGTGCCTTTTGCTGTGGCGGATGTGGCGTGTTGGTTGCTTTGTGTTGTTTTTGCTTTCTTTCTTGTTTGTCTTTGCCAAAAAAAAATAATAATAAATTAAAAATAAAAAAACTACTCCGATGTTTTGGCAAATTCATGTCGTATCTTTCAGGTGATAATACCCTTTCTTTATATATATATTTAACCTGACAAACACAAAGAGAAGCAAAAGCACATCAAGACATACAATCCGTAGCTCCTAAGCGACAAATATCAAAAGAAATATGAATAAGAGCCACATCCTTTGGTATATGACTTCGATACAGCGCTGCAAGAGTATGGGCAACCTCATTGTCATGCCTATAAACATGGCTAAGAAAAGATGAAAAAAAGCTCTGAAGCGCCACTTGAACATCAAAAGAGATCGCGTGAATTTCAATAAGCCCAGGATCAACACCAGACACAGCCTTGGCCACAATAGGAAAGTCGCATTCATACCAAACATGATCAAAAGAAGAAGACAAAGCCCATAAAACTGCTTTACGGAGACAGAAAGCCTCAGCTAATGTCGCACTAGATGCAAGGAAAGGACTGAAAACCACCGCCTGCAAAATCTGACTCGAAGAGTCGCAAAAAACCTCTCTACCACCCCCTACATGGGCTGAAAAAGAAAAGGAAGCATCCACATTACATTTTATAATACCTGAAGAAGGAAGAAACCAGCGTGACAGGGAAGAGGGCGACCTGGATTTGTCACCACACAAATTGTTTGGCAAACGCAATTGGAAGGAACCTGAGGCATCCTTGAATTCCCAAAAATAGGAATATGCCAAATTAACAACACTTTGTGTAGTCCAACCCTCACCATTAAAAACAAGCTTATTAGGAGCCTTCCAAATAAACCAGCAGCAACAAGCAACAAACCCCAACACATCCGCCCCCCTCCTTTTGCCCCTACTGACAAACCAAACCCAACCATTAATTGGCAAAGGAAGAAGGGCAATCAACAACCAAATCAAACCGAAGCGGGGAAAGCTTCCAAACCTGAACAGACTTAGGGCACACAAAAAACAAATGCTTAATAGATTTCTCAACTAAGCCATAACGGGGGGAACGCAACCTCAACAACAAGGCCATGGCCAAGGAGACATTTTCGAACTGGAAGAGCCAACTTACAACACCTCCATAGGAAATGCTTAATCTTAAGCTGAATTTTGCAAGACCAAAGACTATCCTGCAACAACTGAGCAACAGGATCCGAAGTGGAGATCTCTAGAAACCTACCTCCACTACACAACAAACAATAAGCCAAATGATACGCAGATGTCACAGAGAACATACCATTAGTCTCGAAATTCCAACCCAACACATCCTCTTTAGAGAATAAACTAAAGCTGCATTGAAGAATAAAGTCAACAATTCAGCCAAAAACTGGGGAGCCACAGAAGTAGCTGGTAACAGAAGCGTATGAGACAGACCAGGAACCAAACAGTCCTCCTATATATGAATAGACCTCCAGTCGGCCACAATCCATCGAGAACCGGCCGCAATGAGAGATTGAGTAGACCATATACTCCGCTAGATCCACGAAGGATTAGATCCCAACCAAACATCCAAAAAGGAATAATGGCGAAAATATTTAGCTTTAAATAACTTAAAAGCCAATCCATGCTGATGAACCTGAAAGTTCCAATCTTGTTTAGCCAACAATACCGTATTAAATGCTTCAAACCTACGAAATCCCAGCTCCCCTTCCATTTTTGACGCACATAAAGACTCCCAAGCAACCCAATTAATACTGGGAGAACCATCCGGTTTACCCCACCAGAATCGCCGAACATGCTTCAGAATGGAATTACATAGATTTCGTGGGAACTTAAAGCACGACATCACATATGTTGGTAAAGCTCCCTGTAATGACCCGGTCATTTTCCTTCCTTTCCTTTTCTCAGATTTTCACGAATATTTTTTTTCCCGTTGATCTTTTCTTTTCTGAGTTCAGTTTCCCGTCACTTAGTGTCGTCTCGAGTTCTCGGGAATGGTTTCCGAGACTCTTTCCTTTGGATTGACAACTTCCTTGTGAAGACCGAGTCATTTCCTCATTTTCATTTTTTTGGCATTATTCACATTTCGTCTTTTTCCCGTTGTCACTTTGTTGGCACAACCTCACTTTTCGTATTCGGATTTGATCCCTGTTTTTACATGCATCCACGATATTTAAATTCCATGGCGTGTGTATTTTTACTTTCTTAGAAAAGTATGCTAAGTGTTTACTTTTCTTGTAAAGGGTATGGATGCATAACCTTTTGTAATATTCTTAACTTGTAGGGTTTTTGAGTAATTACTATAAGTAATTATTTTTCGTCTTAGGGATCATTTTGTAACTTAATTTGGAAGATATTTTCAAAAAGGGCCTTTTTGCACTTTTCAAAAAATGGTACAAGTGTCACATTCTCATGGTGCCACTTGTTGGCATTGGGGTGGAAAGACTTGGAAGCATAATCTTGTAACACATGGAGAGTAGAGATTCACCCATTTGTTGGCCTAGGATTGGAAGCTCCTCCTGTATTAAAACACATCCAAGACCCTGCAAAGAAGCATCCGTGTAGACCAGATACTCTATCTCGCTCTGTGGGGTAGACAAAACTGGTGCAGAAGTCAACTTAGTCTTCAGCTCCTCAAAAGCTTTCTGACAATGTTCATCCCACACGAAACGTACACCCTTCTTAGTCAAATAAGTGAGTGGTCCCGCTATCTTGGAGAACCCCTGGATGAACCTTCTGTAATATCCTGCCAAACTAAGAAAACTATGAATCTCTGTAGGGGATGTAGGCTATCCCCACTCAACTACCGTTGAAACCATGGCCGGATCCACCATTATTCCCCTTTCTGACACCACGTGACCCAGAAATTTCACCTCCCGTTACCAAAATTCACATTTCTCGAACTTGGCATACAACTGGTGCTCACAAAGCATCTGCAAGACTATCCGAAGATGTCTAGCATGATCGTCCTCTGACCCCGAGTAAATCAAAATGTCATCTATGAAGACAATGACAAACTGATCCAAGTAAGCCCTAAAGACTCTGTTCATTAAATCCATGAAAATCGCTAGTGCATTAGTTAACCTGAACGACATCACCCGAAACTCATAAGATCCACATCTAGTGAGAAATGCTGTCCTCGGAACTCTGCTGAATCTGATCCCTCAGCTCTCGCATCTCCATTAGTGCCATCCAGTACAGTGCTCTAGCAATAGGCGTAATACCTGGAGCCAAGTCAATCCCAAAGTAAATTCCCTAACGAGGTAGAAATCCTAGAATCCAAAAACATCGAAGATTCCTGCATAATTGATATGCTATCCAATGATACAGTAATCTCCTCTTCTGTTTCCTCCTCCTCATAAAACGGAAAAGTGCTAGAT